AAGAGGGGGTAGAAAGATTGTAAAAGCCAGGGAAGAGGTGCATGACCATACGGACATGGTCCTACAGATGCCTTGGACCCTTTTCATACAAACCTACAGCGATGGTGTCTGCATCCACAAGACCCATGCAAACTTAGGCAGACAAAAACCCAGCACAGAACTGTAGAAATGAACAACAGGCCCCAATCTTAGTCAAAGAATTGTTGACAGCTGATTACTGCTGGGGAGAAAGAGATGATCTTCTTGAAGAAAGGGGCTCTAGATAGGCTGACTAAAGCCCAGTGGATGAACTTGTACTGAGGGACATTTGGGGACACTAACTTGACATTATAGGCCTTAGTACAAAGGACAGAATGTATGAACTCCAGTGGGGGGGCATATGGGAGAAGGAGGTACAAAGATGGTTTTTGTATGAAATACAAAAAAAAAAATTAGATCAGTAAAAAAAAATTAAAGACAGGTCATTTCAACTGGAAAAGAACATTGAAACATTAAGGTTCTATCAGTGAGTGAAAGGAATTTGAAATGAGTGACAGTAATCAGTAATGGTCACTTGATGATTACCAAGGTAGGAGTTAAGACAGACATGCATGTGTTTTATTAACTGATCTCTGTGCATGCTACCAAGCGTGTACCAATACAATAGGTGTCAGCTGCTCTATTCAGCATGGGAGTAAGCTGAAGCTGAGATGGATGGGCATCCCGGTGGTAAATAGCAGAGCCCACACCTGCTTTACCTTCAGACCTAAGTGCTTTTCTGCCCCATGGTGGTTTATTCAGTGCCTGCAGGAACATGGAAGAGTCTTGAGTGACACAAAACAATTGTTTCTGAGTGTCTGCAGAGATCTTCCGCTGAGCACTTTTTAAATTTTTTTTATTTTACTTATTTTTGTTTTATTAGTGTTTTGCCTGCATATGTGGAAGAACACCGTGTGAGGGCAATGCCTGCAGAGGCCAGAGAGGACATTAAATCCCCTGGAACTGGAATTTTGAACTGCTATTAGCTGCCCTGTGGGTGCTGGGAACCGAACCTAGGTCCTCTGCAAGGGCAGCCAATGTTCTTAATCACTGAGTCTTCGCTCCAACCCTTGCTTTGAGTTTTTAACTCTGTTTTTCATTCTGTTTTCTAGGACTGTTTGTGTTCCTGTAATCAAACCTGAAGAGAGCAGCGGCTTCGGGAAGGTAGGTGTGGCCCGCTGGCTTTCCACTGAGCAAAAACTTAAGATCTGGAAATTCCAAAGCATGGAATGTTTTCAGGTTTCATAATCTATAATAAATATCAAGAAAGTTCAACTGGCATTTTTAGACCAAATTATAAGGTACCCAGGGGGGAAAGAAGGGCAGATAAGAAAGGGGAGGGAGGGGCTGGAGAGCAGGCTCAGCAGTTAAGAGCACTGGCTGCTCTTGCAGAGAACCCGGATTCGATTCCCAGCACCCACATGGCGGTTAACAGTCATCCATAACTCCAGTTCCAGGGGAATCCAACGCTTCTTCTGACCTCTGCAGACATTGCACAACATGGGCGCACTTACACACATGCAGGCAATACACTCATGCATATACAAAGAAGGAAGGGAGGGAGAGAGGGAGGGAGGGAGGGAGGGAAAGAAAGAGAGAGAGAAAGAAAGGGCAGTGAAGGTGTGTGTAAAAATGACTAAAATTCCTTATAGAAATTTTTTTTTAATGGTAAAAGAAACGAGTGAAAAGATCTTCTGTGAGAGGGGCACTGAGCTGTGTTTCCTTGCATTAAAGAGGATAAAAGCCTTAACACAGAAAAAAAAGGGGGGACAGGATGTCTAAGTTTGAAGACATCAGTAATTCCATCCTCGCCACCCTTCTTTCCTCCTGTCTAGTTTTTGAGCACCCCTACTAGCTGCCTTGTGGCTTTCTTTTGCCCTGTTTTTTCTTTCTTTTTTAATGTATATGAGTGTATTGCCTGCAAGTATGTAAGTGCACCCATGTTGTGCAATGCCTACGCAGGTCGGAAGAGAGCATTGGATTCCCCTGGAACTTGAGTTACGGACAGTTATGCCATGTGAGTGCTGGGAATCGAACCCGGGTCCTCTGCAAGAGCAGCCAGTGCTCTTAATTGCTGAGCCATCCCTCCAGCCCCAATCCCCAGCTATTTCTAAAGTGGAGATCTTCCCTAGACCTTCAGCTCTCATGCTGTGTCCACTGAATCACCCCAACAAGAAGTTTTACTTTGTTTCACCTCAGTGTCTCCCCCAAGGAATGTGTGTGATAACCCCTTAACTCACCAACTTCCTATGTAGCAACCTAAGTGGCCCTCAACAGACAAACAAAATGTAAATACAATGACCTCTTTAAAAGGAAACAAATTGGCATACATGACCTAAACTATGCAAACCTTGAAAGCATCATTCTAAGTGAAACAGGCAGACATAAAAGGACAAACATTTTTTAGGATTCTACTTACATGAGACACCTGGAGAAGTACACTTCATACAGACAGGAAGAAAAGCAGAGGTTCCCTGGGGTTGGGGGAAGGAAGGAAATGTGTATATAATGTTTAAGAGGAACAACGAAATTTTCAGGAAAATGGATCTAGACTAAGTGAAGTAACATAGACTCAGAAAAACAAATGACGTATGTTCTCCCTTATATGTGGATACTAGCACCAAATCCATTTAAATTCCAGGTCCTTTTAATAAGATGATGCTATACAGCAGTCCTTTCTGCATGAAATAACTACCATCATCACGAATTCAGCTGAGCCTGATGGCTAAACATAGTCACAAGTGGACTTGCTGATGGTTGTGCTCATTCACTAAAGGAGGGCCAAGCAGGGTCACTGGACCCTCACTTGAGTATCCAGCCACTCTTCCCAGAAAAATGTATGTAATTTGACCCTAATAACACATAACCTCCTGGATTTGGGGAGGGCTAAAGTACACAATCTGCAGAAGGCTAGGAAGAGAAGGCATGACCCATGCTGGGTAAAGGTGTTCCAGTGTGCATACCCTCAGGTCATACATACACCTCAGCAACCCCTCAGTTATCTTGGTAAGTAAGCTCAGTGAATAAGGAGTCACAAGCTCCTCCCAAACCCATGTGACCCCTGAGGAACAGATCCTCAAATGACCTTATGTATAAAAATAAATTAATTTATTTGGGCCAACTATATGGTCTTAAACACCCAAAAGGAAAGTATAACCAAAGAGTAAAGTCATCAGTATACTTCTTTAAGAGTTCAAGGGATTACATTTCCCAGACATTAGACTTAAGTCTATATAAAAAGTTATTTAGACAATTATTTCTCATTGATGATTTTTGTTCCTAACCAGAAAGTGCTGCTCAGATGTAAGACTTCAAACTTTGGTCTCCAATATTTCTCCCCCTATTTCAGAAGCCTTTCAGAGGGAACTGACACTGATTCTAACCATTCCAACAGCTATCAAAATACCTGGAAGCAAATCCTGAATCCATCACTCTAGAGTCCAGTCTTGGAAGACAAAAGAAGACTGAGGAGGAACCCAATAGAGGGATGCTTTGGGAAGTCCTTGTCAAGAAATTCCAATGGACTCTCATATGAACATTTGAAAATTGCCCTGTTCTGACTTTTTTCTAGTTCCCTGTCTAGAACTTGTAATGCTAATTACTCTTGCCTTTACTTCTCCTTCACATTTCCTATTCACCAGTCAAGGACTTTCTTTTCCCCCTACAGATAAGAGTTATGCAATTTGGGAGTCTTTTAGATAGACCCACTGAAGGGGTACTCCAGTTCCTCACCCTGCATCCCTGTTCAGCATGGAAGAAC